AAGGCAGGGTGGCCCAAAAAGAAAAACGAAAGTTTCTCTTTTTAAATTTAGTAATTTATACGGGAGAAGGGGTTACTAGCCCCTTGCTCCCGGCATTTTAGTCGCCTCTTACAACACGCATGGCTTACGGAAGAAGAATTCTGTTCCACTTCCCCATGGAGATAAGAGGAAATAAACAAGAACAAGAACTAGAAAGAAAATAGAAGAAAACCCAGAGGGGTGTGTGTGTGTGTATATATATGCTTGTACATGTATGTGTAGTGTGACCTAAGTGTAAGTAGAAGTAGCAAGACGTACCTGAAATCTTGCATGTTTATGAGACAGAAAAAAGGACACCAGCAATCCTACCATCATGTAAAACAATTACAGGCTTTCGTTTTACACTCACTTGGCAGGACGGTAGCACCTCCCTGGGCGGTTGCTGTCTACCAACCTACTACCTAGGACGTACATGAATACACTTACATAACTGTTCGAGTTTTGAGCTGTTCATATCCCAAGGTACCACTGTACATATAAAGGACCTACAACCACAGAGCACAAAAATGCATTTAAAATATACTAAAGAATTACTAATGGCAGCTGAAATGAGCAGCTGCATGCCCCATTCATGAATGTATTGAGGGTACATTTCCACACCTGTGACAGATTTCTCCACAGGTTATATGTTGCTTTTTCAGCAAAATCATACAACCTTGTCCTGTTAAATCTACCAAATGCTGCTTCATTATGAAGTGTAACTGCAAGAATCTTCCTTCCAGTCAGAGTACTGTAACTTTGTTGATTAATGCTGCAATAGTGGAAGACTGATCAATAGTCATATTCTTATACAACCTTTCAATCACCTCGAGCAAAATCTTATTTATATCCATTCAATCACTATAATAAGCAATTTGACTTGTTACAAAATAATACTTCACAGCATTCCCTGTATTCAACAGAGCTAAAACTACAACCCCTAGGCCATATACTATATAAAAAAAAAAAAGCTATGACATGAAAAGATAACTCATAAAATTAGGCAAATATGTTGGATGATGGTAAAGGAGAAAATCATGCTTTTGAGACATTAAATTCTATCTCAAGATCAATGAAAAGCAATCTTCAGTGATCATATTGGTACATGTTGTCAGCATTGTTTTGTAAATGCTGTCCCCAAATGATCAACACCCATCCTAACACCTAATTATGCAGAGCTTTTTCTATAGATAATTATTAGTTAGCATTCACTGGGAAGTGCCAAGGCTTTGGAGGTTACGTAATGTCTGAGGAATGAGAGGTAATTAGCTTGAACCAAATGGGGTAGCTCCAGTACCTTGACGTCAAAACATTTCCCCTCCCCTTGAAGGATTCTGCAAATAGATCTGTACTGCAACTTTGTGTGTGTAAACTTACAAAATATTGATCAAAAAGATATTATCAAAGAATTGTGTTTTATGAAGAAGTATACACTATATTAGGAACTATATTAGGGGACAGTACCTAGCGATTGGCAGTGTGTGTACAGTTCATTTATTTAAAGGGAAGGGGGACAAAAGAAACTGCAAAAATTATTGGGGAAAAAGTTTAACGAGTACTAGGTAGTAGGCTGATAGACAGCAACTGCCCAGGGAGGTACTACCGTCCTGCCCAGTGAGTGTAAAACGAAAGCCTGTAATTGTTTTACATGATGGTAGGATTGCTGGTGTCCTTTTTTCTGTTTCATAAACTTGCAAGATTTCAGGTACGTCTTGCTACTTCTACTTACACTTAGGTCACACTGCACATACATGTACAAGCATATACATACATAGCCCTCTGGGTTTTCTTCTATTTTCTTTCTAGTTCTTGTTCTTGTCTATTTCCTCTTATCTCCATGGGGAAGTGGAATAGAATTCTTCCTCCGTAAGCCATGCATGTCGTAAGAGGCGAGATTACTGCCCGGTAAAAGTAGGTCTTAGACAGGGATGTGTAATGTCACCATGGCTGTTTAATATATTTATAGATGAGGTTGTAAAAGAAGTAAATGCTAGGGTGTTGGGGAGAGGGGTGGGATTAAATTATGGGGAATCAAATACAAATTGGGAGTTGACACAGTTACTTTTTGCTGATGATACTGTGCTTTTGAGAGATTCTAAAGAAAAGTTGCAAAAGTTAGTGGACGAGTTTGGGAGGCTGTGTAAAGGTAGAAAGTTGAAAGTGAATATAGATAAGAGTAAAGTGATGAGGGTATCAAACAATTTAGATAAAGAAAAATTGGATATCACATTGGAGAGAGGAAGTATGGAAGAAGTAAATGTTTTCAGATATTTGAAAGTTGACTTGTCAGCAGATGGGTTTATGAATGATGAGGTTAACCAAAGAATTGATGAAGGAAAATAGGTGAGTGGTGCGTTGAGTTATCTGTGGAGACAAAAAATGTTATCCATGGAAGCAAAGAAGAGAATGTATGAAAGTATAGTGATACCAACACTCTTATATGGGTGTGAAGCTTGGGCTGCAAATGCTGCAGCGAGGAGACAGCTGGAGGCAGTGGAGAGGTCTTGTCTAAGGGCAATGTGTGGTGTAAGCATTATGCACAGAATTCGGAGTGTGGAAATTAGGAGGAAGTGTGGAGTTACTAAAAGTATTAGTCAGAGGGCTGAAGAGGGGTTGTTAAGGTGGTTTGGTCATTTAGAGAGAATGGATCAAAGTAGAATGACTTGGAGAGCGTATAAATCTGTAGGGAAAGGAAGGCAGGATAGGGGTCATCCTCAAAAAGGTTGGAGGGACGGGGTAAAAAAAGATTTAGTGGGCGAGGGACTTGGACTTCCAGCAAGCATGCATGAGCATATTAGATAGAAGTGAATGGAGACAAATGGTTTTTGGGACCTGATGAGCTGTTGGAGTGTGAGCAGGGTAATATTTTTGTGAAGGGATTCAGGGAAACTGGCTAGCCGGACTCAAGTCCTGGAAATGGGAAGTACAATGCCTGCACTTTAAAGGATGGGTTTGGGATATTGGAAATTTGGAGGGACTTCTAAACTGTTGCATCTGAGTGCCTCTGCAAAGATGGCAATTATGTATGAGCGAGGTTAAAGTGTTGAATGATGATGAAAGTATTTTCTTTTTGGGGATTTTCTTTCTTTTTGGGTCACCCTGCCTCGGAGGGAGACGACTGACGTATTAAAAAAAAAATAGGAATAATAATGTGAAGTATAGTAAAGCATTATAAACTGTATTACAAACAATAGTTTGAAATACAGGTAAGTATTATACACTATTACAAACATGTTTGAAGTGTAGAAACACTATATACTAAACACTAATAACTATCTGGGTATTACAATGTTTCTAACATTAAATTCATACTCCTTATCAACTTTCTACTGTCATGACCAATTCACTCTCATAATGCAAAAAATCACAAAGCAAATAATACTATTCCAAGTATTTTTCCATTCCACTGCCATAATTTTCTGTGTCATCAATCTCTAGTGAAAGCAAATTTATATAAAAGGGGGAAACAACCCCACAATATGCTGAAAGAGACTGGGTTCTCAGTCAAGCACACACCCTGCAGTGAGTGGCCCTACTATCAGAGACCCCTACCCCTAAGCACAAACCAAACATACCTCTCCACTGCATTAAGGTGACCCAGCATCAGGGATGGGAGAGCGTAGTAGAAATGGTATACAGCCTCTCCTCACTTAACGATGGAGTTCCGTTCCTAAGACCACATCCTTAAATGAATTCGTTGCTAAGGGAGGAGCATACTATAATGGTAGAGTTTGTGCCAACCATCTTTGATATTGTTTTAATGTCACCTTTGCACCATTATAACATTTCTGGCATATTTTTAAATATTTATACAGTAGTGTACGTACTGTATATTGAAATAAACAGAATAGAGGAAATCAGCTCTAATAGACATCATTTAGGTATGAATACTGGTCAGAGAGCTCGTCGTAGTCTAAGGCATCAGTAAACTAGTACATCACTAAGTGAGGAGAGACTGTATACTATATTGTGAAGAATGATTGTGCAATTTAGGAGGAAGCCTTGTACACTATATTAGGAAAACAGAGTGAAAATGCCCAAAAGATAAAAGAGTTTTTTAGTCAAATAAAATGCAAACCAAAGCCAACAACTATATAGCTGAAGTATGATGTTTCTGATGAGGATTTAACCGAGGCATGATGTTGCTGATGAGGATCTAGCCGAGACATGATGTTTCTGATGAGGATTTAGCCAAGGCATGATGCTGCTGATGAGGATTTAGCCGAAGCATGATGTTGCTGATGAGGATTCTTTTACTATAAGAATTAAACTTTTCTTATTACACTGCAGATATCATCAGAGGCCTTTTCATGCACTCAGATACAGATGCTGTTCTTAAATTTTTCTTAACATTTAACTCAGTGAACACTTTTTTTTTTAACACACTGGCCATTTCCCACCAAGGCAGGGAGAAAAAAAAAAAAACACTTTCACCATTATTCACACTCACTGTCTTGCCAGAGACACAGATAACAGTTCAAATGTCCCTCCAAACAGCAAATATCCCCACCCCACCTTTAGAGTGCAATGCATCTGTCTCCACTCCTATCTAACACATGCCTGCTGTATGTCCAAGCCCCTTGCATACAAAACCTCCTTTACTCCCTCCCTCCAACCTTCCCTCCACTATAAATTTATACACCCTCCAAGTCATCCTATTTTTCTCCATCCACTCTAAATAACCAAACCACCTTAACAACCCATTATCAGCTATCTGGATAATATTTTTAGTAACTCCACACCTTTTAATCTCCAAATTACGAATTCTTTGCAAAATATTTACACTACACATTTTGCTCAGACATGACATCTCCACTGCCTCCAGCCTCCTCCCCACTGCAACATTCACAGCACTAGGTTTAAACCCATGTAAGTGTTGGTACTGTACATAAAACTTCAAAGATATTACATGTCACAATTATATACAAATTGAAATCTTGAAAAATTTAAAATTGGTGATTTTGCTGTTCCTTCCATAGTACCTGTCACCAAACCTGATGCAATCCGCTCCGACGTGGACTGCTGGATAATCTTCGTTTGTTTCAAATGGTCAACTCCAGGAGGCACTGCCTGCTCTTGGTATGAGGTCATTTGGATCAGGATCTGCTCAAAGAATTCTTTGGTTTCCTTGTCCACTGTGTCTGGAATTATCACTCCCACACTTGAACCTGTTGGGTAATACAATGGCTTATACAAAAGTTTTGAAGGACATTAAGCCCAACTGAAGGAAATACCAATCAATTCACAACTAAACCATAATTTGAAAATTAATTTATAGATGAACTTCAGGTGCATTATGGACCACATGCAGCTTGATAATGGTTTGGGAAGGACAGAAGTGTCATCTAAAGTAAGAGTTACTTGTGAATATTGATCCAATCATTGCTATTACCTGTGAAAAACTGAGCCTAAAGTTTTGCAGAATCATAATTTTTTGACAGTCAGAAAAGACAAATATAAAACAGATGTAGAAGAACGAGCCATTTCATTCTATGAAATTTAGCATGAAACTGATCTTTAGCAAGTGTTATTCAGGGTGATACATCTATATATATAGTATAATGTAAAGGCTTACACTCTGCTACACATGTTCTGCATTCCTAGTTTGCCACCTACTTACCATTCACTACACAAGAATACAGACTTTACTTCCGTAAAAGCAAAAAAGTGCAGTAATTATTTATGACAGAACTTGGAGATGAAAATGTGAGTAAAATCTTTACATCTGAATGGAATATCCTTCAGTCTCTCAACAATGAACACACAATACTACCTGGTACACTACTGCTGACATCTGGGAACATGTAAGCACCATAGAAAGAATGGAGCACAGGACTCTGGGCAGGGATCAGTGGATAATTCCACTCGCCAACCTGAATGAACCCTCGGGCAGCGCTGGGAGCTGCAGCACCACCAATAGATTCTGTTGGCATTTGGACAGATCTTAGGCCTAGGCAAAAGCAATGTAAATGTGAGTATATTGCAAAAAAACAGTTATCAATAAGAGATTGTAATATGTTATTAACCCCTTCATTGAAATGACAATCTTTTTCTGAAAGTAATGACACCAAAAATACAAAATTGGGTAAAAAAAAAAAAAAATACAAAATTATGTAAGCACAAATTTGGCAATATGGGTGCAATTTACACAGATTTTGCCCACTGTAAGTCCTATTTGATGCCAATTCCATTGTTCAATTCAACCAAATTCTTAGCTATTTTGCTAATATGTTTTCAATTCTATCAACTGTGCACGAAAAACTGTCCATTTAACTACCAGAACTACCATCTAAGTACACAGAAGTTGGTAATTTGGCCAATTTTACACAAATAAAAAAAAAAAAAAAAAAGGTCCAAAATAAAGACTGTAGGCATTCCAACCACTAAAGTAACATCTCCTTTGCTCAATAATCACATTCCCAGGTCTCGCCTATATTATACTTGTCATACATTTTCAATTCATCACATGAAAAACAAAGTTTGACCCTATTTCTCAGACAATAACATAACCAGGAATGATTGGTCATGGTTGACCCACACCTGGTAAAAATCCATAAAACAGACAAGGCGGAAGGCATACCAGGGGATATGGGGCCTTACCTATCCTAAGGAAAATCATATAAAATGAAATATTTCTGCCACTTTAAACCCGATTTCAAGCTGTACCTTTAGTCTTGACCCCCCCCCCCCCAAAAAAAAAAAAAAATCACCTATTTCAGTAGTATGTCATCCATTCTATTTATACAAGAAACAGCCAGTAAAACCAGTAAAAACCATCCTAGAAACTTCTCAAAAGAACTATTTCTAAGTCAGAGGTTTCCTTTCCCTACATTACGGCACTTTGCTTTATGGCACTTCGCTTTATGGCGATTCACTAATGTGGACATTTCAAATTATGAATAAAATTTGTTTATACAGCTCCCCCTCTGGTGTGTTGCATGAGAATGGGAATGTTGTTATTTATCCTACTGCACCAACATGAAGACAACTTGTACACAATGTAAGTCATTTGTATTGTGAGGTAAAAGCTTCACAAACGCATGCAAAATGAACGTGTATGAACCGTAAACGGACAGGAATTAACATGCATTTGTCTGTTTGTTTACATTATCCGTGTGTCTCTCATTTACTAGTTCTTTCTCATTTATGATGGCATCTAAGGGTAGCTGCTAGAAATGATTAAACTCAGTGAACAAGGTATGTCGATGGTGGTAGTGATAATAATAATAATAATAATAATAATAATAATAATAATAATAATAATATAATAATAATAATAATAATAATAATAATAATAATAATAATAATAATAATAAATAATAATAATATAATAATAATAATAATAATAATAATAATAATAATAATAATAATAATTAATAATAATAATAATAATAATAATAATAATAATAATAATAATAATAATAATAATAATAATAATAATAATAATAATAATAATAATAATAATAATAATAATAATAATAATAATAATAATAATAATAGGTAGTAGGTTGGTAGACAGCAACCACCCAGGGAAGTACTACCGTCCTGCCAGATGACTGTGTGAAACAGAAACCTGTAACTGTTTTGCATGATGGTAGGATTGCTGGTTTTCTTTTCTGTCTCATAAACACGCTAGATAACAGGGATATCTTGCTACTCCTACTTACACTTTGGTCACACTTCACAGACACGCACATGCATATATATATATACATACATCTAGGTTTTTCTCCTTTTTCTAAATAGCTCTTGTTCCTTTTTATTTCTTCTATTGTCCATGGGAAGTGGAAAAGAATCTTTCCTCCGTAAGCCATGCGTGTCGTATGAGGCGACTAAAATGCCGGGAGCCAAATGGGCTAGTAACCCCTTCTCCTGTAGACATTTACTAAAAAAGAGAAGAAGAAAAAACTTTATAAAACTGGGATGCTTAAATGTGCGTGGATGTAGTGCGGATGACAAGAAACAGATGATTGCTGATGTTATGAATGAAAAGAAGTTGGATGTCCTGGCCCTAAGCGAAACAAAGCTGAAGGGTGTAGGGGAGTTTCGGGGGGGGGAAATAAAGGGGATTAAATCTGGAGTATCTGAGAGAGTTAAGCAAAGGAAGGGGGAGAAGTAAGTTGAATGATCATTTTGGAAGGGAAAAGGAAAATGAATGTTACATTCAAGAATTATGTGGATTAAAAAAAGGTTGGATGCGAAAGTGGGTCATAATAAGCTGTATGCACCCGGGGGAAAGAGGAATGCGAGGAGAGAGAGAGATTTTTGGGGGATGTTTAATGAATGTATGGAGCCCTTTAAACCAAGTGAGAGATAATTGTGGTAGGGGGCCTGAATGTAAAAGAGAAAAATTTTAGAGAGGGTGGGTAGGGAAGTTTTTGGGGGACCAGGTGTAAATGATAATGGGGCCCCTTTTATTGAAATTTGATAGAAAGGGGGTTTGTTATAGGTAATACATATTTTAAAAAAAAAGGGATAAATAAGTATACAAGATATGATTTGGGGGGAAAAACATAGTTTGTTTTTGGTTTTGTATGGTAGTAAAAGACTGTTAGTAGACTCAGGATTACATTTTTTTAAAAGGGGCCACAGATATATCAATCCTTTCTGTTGAGCTAATGAGAGTAAAAGGTAATGGGTTTAAAAAGAAAGAACATCAGGGGAAAAGGGGGTGAAAATTTAAAACTAAAAGAGGAGGCGTTAGGGGAAGATATAAACAGCATTGGAGGGAAAATGGGCTAATGAAGCATAGGTAAGGGTCGAAGAGGTATGGGGTAGGTTTTTTAAAAAGTAGTGTTATGGTTTAGCAGAAGTTTTGGTTAAGGAAAATGGGTGCGGGAGGGAAAAAGGGGGCATTGGTGGAATGATGATGTAAAGAGAGCAGTAAGGGAGAAAAAGTTAGCATATGAGAAGTTTTTACAAAGTAGAAGTGTTTGCAAGGAGGGAAGAGTATATGGAGAAAAAGAGAGAGGTTAAGAGAGTGGTGAAGCAATGTAAAAAGAGAGCAAATGAGAGAGTGGGTGAGATGTTATCAACAAATTTTGTTGAAAATAAGAAAAAGTTTTGGAGTGAGATTAACAAGTTAAGAAAGCCTAGAGAACAAATGGATTTGTCAGTTAAAAATAGGAGAGGAGAGTTATTAAATGGAGAGTTAGAGGTATTGGGAAGATGGAGGGAATATTTTGAGGAATTGTTAAATGTTGATGAAGATAGGGAAGCTGTGATTTCGTGTATAGGACAAGGAAGAATAACATCTTGTAGGAGTGAGGAAGAGCCAGTTGTGAGTGTGGGGGAAGTTCGTGAGGCAGTAGGTAAAATGAAAGGGGGTAAGGCAGCCGGGATTGATGGGATAAAGATTAGAAATGTTAAAAGCAGGTGGGATATAGTTTTGAAGTGGTTGGTGCAATTATTTAATAAATGCATGGAAGAGGGTAAGGTACCTAGGGATTGGCAGAGAGCATGCATAGTTCCTTTGTATAAAGGCAAAGGGGATAAAAGAGAGTGCAAAAAATTATAGGGGGATAAGTCTGTTGAGTATACCTGGCAAAGTGTATGGTAGAGTTATTATTGAAAGAATTAAGAGTAAGACGGAGAATAGGATAGCAGATGAACAAGGAGGCTTTAGGAAAGGTAGGGGGTGTGTGGACCAGGTGTTTACAGTGAAACAATAAGTGAACAGTATTTAGATAAGGCTAAAGAGGTCTTTGTGGCATTTATGGATTTGGAAAAGGCGTATGACAGGGTGGATAGGGGGGCAATGTGGCAGATGTTGCAGGTGTATGGTGTAGGAGGTAGGTTACTGAAAGCAGTGAAGAGTTTTTATGAGGATAGTGAGGCTCAAGTTAGAGTATGTAGGAAAGAGGGAAATTATTTCCCAGTAAAAGTAGGCCTTAGACAAGGATGTGTGATGTCACCGTGGTTGTTTAATATATTTATAGATGGAGTTGTAAGAGAAGTAAATGCGAGGGTCTTGGCAAGAGGCATGGAGTTAAAAGATAAAGAATCACACAAAGTGGGAGTTGTCACAGTTGCTCTTTGCTGATGACACTGTGCTCTTGGGAGATTCTGAAGAGAAGTTGCAGAGATTGGTGGATGAATTTGGTAGGGTGTGCAAAAGAAGAAAATTGAAAGTGAATACAGGAAAGAGTAAGGTTATGAGGATAACAAAAAGATTAGGTGATGAAAGACTGGATATCAGATTGGAGGGAGAGAGTATGGAGGACGTGAATGTATTCAGATATTTGGGAGTGGACGTGTCAGCGGATGGGTCTATGAAAGATGAGGTGAATCAGAGAATTGATGAGGGGAAAAGGGTGAGTGGTGCACTTAGGAGTCTCTGGAGACAAAGAACTTTGTCCTTGGAGGCAAAGAAGAGAATGTATGAGAGTATAGTTTTACCAACGCTCTTATATGGGTGTGAAGCATGGGTGATGAATGTTGCAGCGACGAGAAGGCTGGAGGCAGTGGAGATGTCATGTCTGAGAGCAATGTGTGGTGTGAATATAATACAGAGAATTCGTAGTTTGGAAGTTAGGAGGAGGTGCGGGATTACTAAAACTGTTGTCCAGAGGGCTGAGGAAGGGTTGTTGAGGTGGTCCGGACATGTGGAGAGAATGGAGCGAAACAGAATAACTTCAAGAGTGTATCAGTCTGTAGTGGAAGGAAGGCGGGGTAGGGGTCGGCCTAGGAAAGGTTAGAGGGAGGGGGTAAAGGAGGTTTTGTGTGCGAGGGGCTTGGACTTCCAGCAGGCATGCATGAGCGTGTTTGATAGGAGTGAATGGAGACAAATGGTTTTTAATACTTGACGTACTGTTGGAGTGTGAGCAAAGTAACATTTATGAAGGGGTTCAGGGAAACCGGCAGGCGGGACTTGAGTCCTGGAGATGGGAAGTACAGTGCCTGCACTCTGAAGGAGGGGTGTTA